TATGACTACATCCAAAAAAACTTTAATAAAACTTTCATTGAAGGATTTGCATTATTCACATTTAAGGGAAACAAAAAACCATCTAAACAATATTAGGCCTTTCAATCCTGCATTTTTTCAGGTAAATTTATCCATTGAGTATACACGTATATAATTGAATATACGTGTACTCAATTATATAACATACGTTATAACAGTAACTAGCCAAATTATTGCCAATTGAAGCAAATACAATTGTGATAGAGAGGTTATGCAGAAAATCAGGCAGTTCTTAAGTAATGTAAACAAAATGTTATCGTTGTATAAAATTACAGAAATTTGTAAACGTACTGGCAACAATGGGTAGTACCATGCAGACTACATTATCATTGACGAAGATCAACATGGACAACCTAATGCGGCTATAAGTGGGAAATATTTGTAGAATACACTAAAAAACTAGATCAGCTTTTGAAAAATTATAAAATATTTACAAGAAATGTTGATTATATGGTACTGTTAGGTACGTGATCTATGAGTTGAGTCTTTTAAACTCATCGGAAATTATGACTTTTATTAGGTTTTAAATAAGTTATTTGTTTTTAAACAACTACCGTACTTTACTTCTTCGCAATTGCCCGATTTCGAGCAACATGTACACTTGTAGTAAAATGTTTCATTTCAACCAAGTGTTTGTAGCAAACTGTTAAACTGTCAAACTTCCATTACTATCCAAACTATCCATTATTTCGTAAATTGCCCTTTAAGGTCATAATTCATTTCTAAAGCGAACTTTCCATATACCTAATGTTAAAAATACCTTAGCTGTACTTATTTGTTTGTTATTCTTTCAATTTATTTCCTTATTAAAATAAGTGTGTTTTTTTTGTATTAGGTACTGTATTCTGTGTTAAAACATGTAGCACATGAAATGGTTGATATCACCCCATTTTTCAGGATTCTCTACGGAGAAAATTCGTTTGAGTAGGTTGGTGTATGTCTCAAATCAAAGAAATAAAATGACTCGACTTAAATTACTTAACACAGGTTATCAGTAAGCCATATAAGGTTTTCTTAAGTTCTCGATTCTGGAAACACTTTGTTGCAGCATGTTACCTCGAATTGAAGCAGATCGTTTAGCATTCATTAGAAGTCATCAGTTAAAACTGAGAGCATAAATACCGGTAATGTAAGTGAGCCTTGACGACGCAAATAGAGATATTTAAAATTAGTTTCTAATAAGTACAATACAATAATTGAAAATATGATGTAATTTTGAGAAATTTTACAAAACTACAACATAGCAGCGCATAAATAAAATATTATTAAAAGCAACAAAGATTAACAATCCATTGATTAAATGAATGGAAAAGGCGTTCCTGTCATCCCACAATACAGCGGAGTTTGCAAAAGGTATACTAGTTTTTGCAGGCGTTGTTTCGTATGGTACTCAGCCATACATATACAATAAGTGCCGGCTATGTATAACAAGCTTTATTTTTACAATGATTTCCTTGTAAAATCAAATAACTCAATTGTTAATATAAGTGTAGTAAGAAGATTCGTTCACTCATATATTATTACAATTAATACAATAATAGCATTCCCCAAAAATTTAAGTTGCCTTTTTTAAAATAAAACTTATTATGATATCTTCTGGCCAAAAGTTTAATTATCGTTCTGATTTTAAAATATTTATTTAACATTGCAAAGTTTAAAGTAAATTATTCACCTACTATAGGAGGGTTTCGAAAAGGGTAATTAACTTCAAAAAATACAAAAGGATTTTTTTATTCTAAGAAAATAAGCAGAAACCAGATTTATTTATCTTAGTAGCAAAAATGCTATACAAATATATAGCACGGGTTAATTTTGTATTAGTCTTACTCTTATCCCATTTAAATACTATAATAATGATAGTATCAATAAACAAATGCATATTAGTTATGTAAAGGAGACTTTGTCCTGACCGCACCAGCCTAACAGATGCGTTGGCCACTGGCAACAAGGTCTACCGGCAGCAAACACGACTACATCCCCTTCACCCGGTTCAGCTCGGACATTTCGCACCACCAATCGTAGGTCAGGTTAATGGTCGTAGACCTTGTTGGCCGCGGACCTTGGCGCGTCCCCGTCCTATACCAGTTAGACCCGGCTTTTGGGCCTAGTGGTTTCCCTGACCTTATCGCAGACCCTGGAACTTCCATTGTAGGCTGAGCTATCCTCGGCAAACGTTTGCGACTGCACTTTTGATATTTTTTTCCCAGTGCAGAAAAGTGTGTCACACTGTAGTGGGATAGGATTGAGAAGTAGTCCCGGTTCCTCACAACATGTTGTGTATGACATGTAGTATGACTATGACTGTGACTATGTTCAACAATTACTTCGCGCACAGTTAGTGTGTGTAGGCCTACGTGTTAAGTGAATTATGAATGAGAGTGAAGTAAATAAACACGCACCATCTCTTCTGATGTGAATGATATTGTGTGGAACGAACTCGCCATTAACATTTAAAACCTCGGTGTCCATACTATGAAACAGTTTAAACGACTACAAAAATATTAACAAAACTAAGTAGGCTACTGTACCTATTTGATAAGTTCTTAAAAAGTAAACTGCAATATAAACTAAGTTAAATTTTACTTTTTAAAACACTTATCACACATATTAACTTAGAAGTTTGTTGATAAAACTAAAATTCCACAATAAGTTAGGTTAATTTCACTGACACAGAGAACCAAACTATGATGTTTAAGTTTATGGTCCGAAATAACCTTAGTAAACTTAATTTTTATTCTAACAGCTGATGATTAAAGGTAAACAAAAACCCAAAACTAATTATTCTTCCTTAAGTTATACGAACTCCATGCTAACATTGACCTTCTGTGGGGCGGCGCCCATTGGGAATTTTGTAAAATCGCTTTGTATTGTCTGCCTACGTTGTAAGAGGAATATGTACCTTTATGCAAAATCTCATGCCTCTAGCTGATATGGTTTGGCCTGTGTATTGATCTGAATTTTGCATTAACTTACTAGCAGAGTACCCGTCCTTCGTACGGGGTTGGCAGATAAGTATAAAATGCTTATTACTTACAATTATAGGAGAGGACACGGTTTAAGAAAATTTGGTCTATTTTGTAATGTGTTAACTTAGGCCTAACTTATGTAAGTTAGCCTACCAATTAATTGGAGTAGGCTATACTGAAGCCCATTACTTCCAAACAAAATGATAACTTAAGTTAGGGCTTATAACTTAACACAATAAGTTATAGGCTAGGCCTACCTTAGAGTAAGTTAAGTTCCAACTTAGGCCAATTTTTAAGTTTCTAGGATGTATTTTAATAAAACCCTGTAACTTAATTGTGCAATAAGTTAAAAGGGCAAACGATACTTTGGTATTATCCGGAGGCCACTTCATTTGGAGAGATTTTTTTACCGGAGACCAAAAATAACTACATAGGCCTAATAAAGAACAGGGTACTTTAATTGACTTATGGTCCAAAATTGACATGATTACGATTAGCTGCCTTTAAGTTCTGCCTCCCAGAAGGCAGCGATGACGGCGAGGATTGAGTTGAATGCGTCGCTGCCGCTATACTCCGCCAAGAAGGTACCTATACAGCGTGCTGCGGCAGTCATGAGGTTGGGTTATCATAAATATGTTTGTAGAACTTTCCTAGTTTCGTTATGATTCTAACGATACTAAATGAGTCATACTTTCGCCCACAAAACAAGATACCCCAGATACAGGTGGTGACAGTTGATGAGCGCGCTCCGGAAAACCACCTAACCTTGGCCTACTTGAGGGGATTTGGCATGTGAAAGTATGACTCATCTGGTATCATTCGATTCATAACGAAACGAGGAAAGTCCTACAAACATATTCCTTTATGATACTGTAACCCAATCTAATAAAGGCTAACTGCCGCAGCGCACTGTAGGCCTATAGACCCTAAGGGTGGCCTCCGGATACGGCTGCACTTTACTTTAGGTCCTACACTCATTCGAATGAAAATATCGATCGATATAGGCCTATCAATTGATCGATTAATCGATTGTTTCATTCGATATATCATTTGGTTGGTTAACCTAACCTAACTAACCAAACGATATATCGAAGGACACAATCGAATACCATAATCCATTCAAATGAGTGTAGGACCTAAAGTAAAGTGCAGCCCCGGATAATACCAAAGCGCCGGGCAAACATTTAGACCTTTACTAAAGACACATGGAAGGTTACTAGGTTAGGCCCCTATAAAGAATAAGTTAATAGGCTACACATCTCAATGATTGATACTTAACTTAATTGATAATAAGCTGTATAACAAAACTAGGGGTACCGTTTCTTAACTGGGCTATGCTAATATTGATTGAAACTATCGAATTGAAAATATTGATAAATAATCGATATTTTTAAATATAGGCCTAACTTATCTATTGTAAAATAAAACTATCATAACCTAACCTAAACCAACCAAACTTGCTGATGGTTAAAAAATCACGGTTAAAGGTTTACTAATCGAATCTATAGTCTTAATCGATATTAGCATAGCCCAGTTAAGAAACTGTACTGTACCCAAAACAGGCCTATTTCAGCAACATCTATGCCTAACTTTAAACCAGTGATATTCTGCAGGCTTATAGTTCAAATATAATTAAGCAAATAGGCCTTTATGGAGGGGGGAGTAAAGAGTGGTCTAAGACAACGAAGTAGCCCAAGTTAGCCTATCATGAATAGGCTAAGTTGCCTAGTTTAGTTAGCCTCTAGGCAAGATAAAATGTCCAAGATTCAAAGAAACTTTTAAACCTACCCTGTTAGGGAATTGGTACAAAGTTTGACCAAATATGACCTATACATTCTAATCTACACATACTGATATAAAACTTTATTTTTAACCAACAATAAGAAAATTATAAGATAGGCCTATTGCAACAAAGATGGAAGGCTGGATATGGCAGTGTGTAACTAAAGCAAACCTCAAACGCACGCGGAATATGGTAAAAGTCCATAAACTTACCTGTTGACTGCTATTTAAACTATCTTCTATGACTTTCTCTGTTTCCATATCTAACATTATCTCACTAAGAACTTCATAAAGCTTAAATTAAATCTACAATCACTGTCACTAAAATTGCATAGTCAATAACCACTGTACGTTCAATGACGTCACGCCTGCAATCAGGTCAAACAACAGTAGAGTACAATAGTAAAAATATCTCCGGAAAATGCGTTGAGCATGATTTCATACCAAAATATATATTGCCACAGTGTATCTCACATAATATACAGTGTATACATTATACCACAGACAAAATTATAAAACATGTCTCCTTAGGGAATTTGTCATCCATACATGGTGTTCAAAAAGGTGGGGACATAATTTACGTAGTGATTCCTTCAAATTCCTTGGGTCAAAATAAAAAGAAAATCAAGAATAACATTTTTTCCTAAATCACTTTCTTAACCAGATATCCACCATTTTGTATTTGTATTTTTTACATAAATTTTTATCTTTGGATTTCTTTCAATCGATATTTATGTAACTTGGTATGTAGGAATATGATAAGGGAGAAGAGACCCTTGGTAAAAAAACATTTCTTCTTGATTTAACTTAAAATTTCAAAATGGTGGCCATTTGATTTTTTGAAACTTAAATTACTCAAAAACGGCTGATTTTATGAAAAGATGTCAAGAACACTTTTTTTTGGCATTTTTACTTCCCTATCAAATGATACTGGATAACATGGTATAAAAGTACAGTGACGTAGCCAGGTCTTAAATATAATTTTTTTTTGTTAAATTAAATGTAAAATTATATACTGTAATCATACTGTATTGACGTTGGGGTTGATTATTTTCAATGCCAAGAGAGCTAAAAAACAAACGTTTTAGGGCCTATATTTTTAAAATTTTTCCTAGACCCCCTTTTACATAGGGGGGTATGGAATATCCCCCAGAACCCCGGTCGGTCGACCCCACCATTTTGAAATCCTGGCTACGCCACTGCCATGTGCAGAGATCGGATGAGAAATAGCTGAAATATTACGATTTTAGCGAATTTCCCTATAGGGAAGTAGCTATTAGCGTAGGTCTCATGGTAAGACCTAAGCCCGGGACCGATTTACTTTTTCATTTTGATGTCCCCAGAGGCCAAAAACACCATTCGTTTGTATTAGCGAATTTCCCTATAGGGAAGTAGCTATTACCGTAGGTCTCATGGTAAGACCTAGGCCCGGGACCGATTTACTTTTTCATTTTGATGTCCCCAGAGGCCAAAAACACCATTCGTTAAAATGTTTATATATATATATATATATTAGTAAGATATATGTCCATCCGCACGATAACTTGAGTAATTTTTGTCCGATTTTGATAAAATTTGGTTTGAAGGTGTAAGGCGGGATAAACTTGAACGAGTTCGCGAACCAGCTTGATCGGGCTATGGGAACGGGGGTTTACGGGGGGTTTTATGGGGTAAAAATAGGTTTTTCCCATTTTCGACCCAAAAAACATAAAATTTCGAAAAATCTTTCCAAACCATTTTGTAGAGCTTAAAAAAACAAATAATTTAGTATATTGAAGTGTTACTATGCGCCTAATGGTTACGGAGAAAATTCCAAAAAAAGTAAATTTTTAATTCCCATGTTATTCTTATGGAGAACAAGTAAACTGTTGTAATTTGCTTGTTTATGAACATACTTTTAATCAAATTTGGAAAATGTTTTTATTTCTTACTAACTATTAACATTTTACAAAAAAAAAACAGTTTTACCCTCCCTGATGCAGCAAACCTAAGTACCTGAATTAGTTTAAAATTCTATTTTAATAGGAAATAAATGTTACATTTTTAAGTAGACATTTTTGTGTAAATCTAATCAGGCAAATGGAAATTCGCTTAGTCTGCAGGTTTGCTGCGGCGGGGGTATTTTTATATATTAGCGAATTTCCCATATAGGGAATAAGCTATTACCGTAGTACTCATGGTAAGACCTGGACGCGGGACCGATTTTTTTTCCTTTTGAGGTCCCTAGAGGCCTAAAACACCATCCGTTCAAATTCATATATATATATATATATATATTTATATATTTATATATATATATATGTGTGTGTGTCCGTCAGCACGATAACTCGAGCAAAAATGATCCGATTTTGATGAAATTAGGTACAAACGTGTAAACGTACGTTTTTTCGAACGAGTTCGCGATCCAGCATGATCGGACCATGGGAACGGGGGTTTACGGGGAGTTTTATGGGGTAAAAATAGGTTTTTCTCATTTTTTACCCAAAAAACATAAAATTTAGCAATTTCTTTCCAAACCATTTTATAGAGCTTAAAAAAACAAATAATTTAGTATATTGAAGCGTTATTATGCGCCTAATGGTTACGGAGAAAATTCAAAAAAATTGTAATTTTAAAATTCCCATGTTATTCTTATGGAGAATAAGTAAACTGTTGTAGTTTTCTTGTTTGTGAACATATTTTGATCAAATTTGGAAAATGTTTTCATTTCTTACTAACTATTCACATTTTACAAAAAAAAAACAGTTTTACCCTCCCTGATGCAGCAAACCTAAGTACTTGTTAAACTAATTCTATTTAAATCAAGAATAAATGTTATATTTTTAAGTAGACATTTCAGTGTAAATCCAATCAGTCAAATGGAAATTCGCTTAGTCTGCAGGATTGCTGCGGCGGGGGTATTTATATATATATATATATGTGTGTGTGTGTGTGTGTGTCCATCCCCACGATAACTTGAGTAATCTTTGTCTGATTTTGACAAAATTTGGTTTGAAGGTGTAAGGCGGGATAAACTTGAATGAGTTCGCGAACCAGCATGATCGGACTATGGGAACGTGGGTTTATGGGGGGTTTTATGGGGTAAAAATAGGTTTTCCCCATTTTTGACCCTAAAAACACAAAATTTCACAATTTATTTTTAAACCATTTTGTAGAGCTTAAAAAACAAATAATTTAGTATATTGAAGCGTTATTATGCGCCTAATTGTTACGGAGAAAATTCAAAAAATTGTAATTTTAAAATTCCCATGTTATTCTTATGGAGAATAAGTCAACTTTTGTAGTTTGCTTGTTTATGAACATATTTTGATCAAATTTGGAAAATACATTAATTTTTTACTAAACTACAGTACCTTTTAATATTTTACATAAAAAAAACTTTTTTACCCTCCCTGTTGCAGCAAACCTAAGTACTCATTAAACTAATTCTGTTTAAATAGGGAATAAATGTGATATTTTTAAGGAGACATTTTATAGTTTAAATCCAATCAGGCAGGTGGAAATTCGCTAAGTCTGCAGGTTTGCTGTGGCGGGGGTATTTAGTTGTAAAATGAGACTAGCTTCTGCCTTATTCTACCCAAAATTTTACAACTAAAAATCGTAATATTTCACCTATTTCTTATCCGATCTTTTTGAACTTGATATCGTTTGATAGGGAAAAGAAAGTGCTAAATAAAAGTGTTCTTGGCAGTTTATCATCAAATCAGCCGTTTTTGAGTAATTTAAGTTTAAAGAACTAAAATGGCCGCCATTTTAAGTTGAATCAAGATGAGTTTTTTTACATGGGTCTCCTCTACCTTAAAATACATACCAATTAATTTTCATGAAGATCGGTAAAAAAACTAAGATAACGAAGCGATTTAGGAAAAAATATTATACTTGATTTTCTCTTTATTTTTACTCAAGGAATCACTACGTAAATGATGTCCCCACCTTTTTTGAACACCCTGTATATGGATCAGCTGAAAACAATTTTATTGTAAGTTCCGTATGGTGCCGCTAGATTTGTGTTTTTGTTTAAATTATTTGTTTGTTTCTTGTTATTTCAGTTATTCAAAACCTCGTTCTCGTTCAACCAAATAGAACTATCTATCTATCTATCTATTCTATACCTACTATTTTAAAGAAGAGGTGGTGTCTGTGTGTGTTTGTATGAGCTTATCTAAAAAGCTAATGAACCTACTGGGCTCATTAAGTTTTACCAATTTCATTGAGTCCTCTAAAAATTCTTGTGCTGCCGCTTGGTCTGTCATCAAAAAAGAGGGGGCCCCTGCAAAAGCAAAACCAACTACTAGACTTTCTGCTGAGGAGCTGAATGATTTCTTCATTAATTCTGTCCAACAGACTCGGGATGCAATTGGTACTCCACCAACCCCAGCTGTAAACCTCCTAGCCCAGCATCCTAGACCAACATGTTCTTTTAACATTGAACCTGTCTCTTGTGAGAAAGTGCTATCTGTTGTACATAAGATGAATAGCTCTAAAAGTAAGGATGTTTTTGATCTCTCTGCAATCTTAATTAAGAATGTGATTTATCATATTTTATTTCCACTCACCTATTGTATCAATGTTTGTATCAAGGAGGGCGTTTTTCCAGATGTCCTAAAAACAGCCAGAGTAGTCCCTGTCCATAAAAAGGGGAACCATAATGTGCCTGAAAATTTTAGACCTGTATCTATTCTCCCTGTGTTTGGTAAGATTTTTGAAGGTATAATTAAGGATCAAATGTTACCTTATTTTGAAAGTAATGGACTGCTTGTGTCAGCCCAGTATGGTTTTAGATCAGGCCGTTCCACAATTGATGCAGTTGAAGTTCTGACTGGGGTTGTTTTAAAATCATTTGAGAAGGGAGGCTTTGCTGGGGCCACAATGTGTGACCTCAGCAAGGCTTTTGACACCGTGGACCACAAAATTTTGCTTGACAAACTCCATTTTTATGGAGTTAGGGGTAAGGGTTTGGACTTACTGGGATCATACTTGGGCGGGTGCAGACAGTTTGTCTCTGTAAATGGTCGGTCCTCTGTTGTCAAATCTTTAACTCATGGCGTCCCACAGGGGTCTGTCCTTGGGCCCTTGCTTTACAACATAATGATAAATGACCTTTCTTTGCATTTGGGAGAGGGGGTTGTTTGCTATGCAGATGGCACTACTCTGATTGGGGTAAATGATAACTTAAATGTCCTGCAGGGCACTATGTCTCAGACTCTCCAAATGACCTCGGCGTGGTTCCGAGCTAACTTTCTCTTCCTGAATGAGAGTAAGACTCAGTACATAATATTTAGTCTTAGACAGCTTAAAAAGATGTCACAATAAGCGTTAAACTACTTGGATTAATGTTGGATCCTAAGCTGGA